GCATAGCACAAGCTTGAAAAGTCTGCAGGTGACATGGGGAGCCACTGTGTGCCATTTCTTCAAATAGGTGGAAACAGGAAGTACAACATGAGTGCAAAGCCACATGCTGTCACTGCACTGTTTTTACTCTGTTCTTGGTATAAAAATATCACCGTTCCCCAGGCTGCCAGTGCCAGCTGACAAGACCTCTGCTTTGTGAGAAACACATGCAAATATGTTGCTTTATGTCAGCTATTGTTAGCTATTAGGCATGTCAGTATTACATTTTTGGCACAAGTGACCAAGATTCCTGACAAGAATGTAAAAATTCAGCTTAAGTTTCTAACTAACTCAGTTTTCCAAAACTAAACCCAAAGCGAGTCCAACCGCTTGGCACACTGCAAACATTTGCTCAGCATGTTCACCCAAGCTCATACCTCATTTGATGTTTGCAGTTTTGCCATGGTATAGCTGTAAATAAAATTGCAATTACCACTTTTGGTCAAAGCTGCAGAACGCTCAGTTTCATAAGGATTTTAAAGCTGGGGCCTGTGCTGAAGTGAACAACTCTGTCACTGTCTATTGACTAAATTTGTCAGCAACAAATTAAAATGAAGGGGGACTTGAGTGATCAGGCAGTATGTTTAAGAAACAATGCTCATCATCAAAGAAATGTAAATATTTTTATTTTAAAAAATGTAATGGCACCTTAGAGGCAGTCATGACTACACAACAAAATATACAAAACCTACATTGTCATAGCTGCATCTTTCCACAGTGCTGCACAAAATGAAGATGGTATGAGAAACATCGTAGGTCACACACTGAGACAGTACTTTAGTCAATAAAACCAGACAATTTTTGGTACACCTTGACACTACCAGACCCAGTTTCCCTGGGTAAAAAGGAAAGGTGGCTTTGTGCAAAACTTTCCAACGATGTACAACTTAACGCTAAACATACAGCAAATCCACTGTACAAGGTAGTTTGACTAGTCCTCATGCAGTCTTTATATACAGCATCAGCTCAGTTCCCTCACTTTGCCTTTTCAGGGAAAAGAAGCAATTGCATTAACTAAAATGAAACTTTTGTCTTTCACTGCTGCAATGTAAAATTGTCTGATTCTTTATTCCGGATTCTACTCAGCATCAAAGAGACCATTCAAACTTTCTCTAAAAGCAAGCCTTTTATAATCTCTTGCATTTTAAAGGGGAGCAATGTCATTAATTAAAGGCCACATTCTGGCATGATGGTAAATGAAAAAAAGCTGATAAATATTTGCTTGCTTAAAAAAAGATAATAATCGTGCCTGATCGCTATTCCTAGATGGACTTTCAGAAGTAATTAAATTCTGTTATCCCAAGTTAAAGTGCTTAATTACATTGATCTGTGTTTACCTTCTGTTGTACCACTGAATCCAGAAGTAAAATGTATTTGTGAAAAAATCTGTATCGCAGAGGAAAGTGACTTGGTTTGCAAATGTGGTTTCCATGCCATCTAAATGAACCACAAGCTTCCATGGGTTAAGGTGATGGGTTTGGCAAGTTTTTTTGAAAAAATGATTTGTCTATTGATTTAAACTTCAAAAAGCACTACCTGTGATTATGCACTTGACTTTGTATCAAACAGAACCTGAAACTGATTCCTCTTGGAGCAGCAGCGTTCATCTGCTGGAGTCCACTGATGTTTATGTTACTCAGCAGCTACTAGCTACCCTTATGAGTACAAAACTGAAGCTTATGCTTTCACTGGATTTCTCTAGCTTAGACTTGTAGTGAGTGGATTGTGTCTTTCCTACAGCAAATTGCCTTCACCTATTGAATGTCTACTCTCCAGATAATTCCCCAGATAAGCAGTCATGGTTTGTTCAAAGAAAACCATTGGCCTTTAAATGTCCTTCATGCAGTGTAGATATCAGGTCTATATGTGATGGTCCCGCAACATAGGCACTGCACAATGCAAGCATTTTGATACTAAACTAAAAACCAGATTCGACCGTGCTTCTATAAGGATTCAGAACAAGCCAACATCACAGGAGTGCACTGAAATGAGAAGTTGCATGAACACATATAATGTAGTGCAGAAAGGAGAAGGACTTTAAACTAGGTCTCATTCAGTGCTGTCAGTGACTAATTGGGTGTTCAGCAATAATGGAGTTATAGTCAAAGCTAGTGGAGGGAACCATTGTACAAGTTTCAGGGGAAAATTAATTTAGACATGAATTCTGAAATAGGAGAGACCAGGAGGATTGTGCTAACCCTCATGAGAAAATAAATCTCCAGAAACCTCTGAGCAAAAAAGCTGCCAAGAGCCTACAGAACAGGTATTAACAACTAACTGAAGGGTTTTTCTGTTGGAGAGCTACTGTCAAAGGGAAATAATTGACTGTCAGGCAGCATCAAGTAGAAACTACACCGTCTGGCAACTTTCTGTTAAGTGGGAGTGTTTTAGAGGCTCATGATGAGTAAGTGTAAGGAGAACACCAAGAATGTCTAATGTGCCGTATGAGAACATAAAAGCAAACGATATCCTTACAGAACATGGTTAATTCATTGAGAAACTGCACTAAGTTCTCATTAAGAGAGGTCTGGTAATGGTTTGGGATGGCCTAGGTACACTTCCACTGCCGGCAGAGCTCTGGCTGCAAGCCAGATACACTCACATAATCCCAGCTGGAGCTGGTGGCAGTGACATCAGCCCTGGCTGGCCCAACCACCAGCCTACTCTTGCACCTGGGTACAGACACAGCTGCCTAGCCTGCACTACCACAGCCTAGTGCTATTTGTATCTGTTCCCCGTAGGCAAAAGCAAGACCCTTTCTGCATTGAAGCTGCCCCATTGTTCTGCAGGGAGGCTGCCTAGGGTGCAGTTTTAGAGCAGCTAATGATTCACTGCAGCAGAAAATAAAAAGGCTCATCTCCCTTTTTTGTCCCCACTTTGCACTCATGAGACCTTTAAGTCTCCAGCTGTGGAGAGCTGTGCACTCCCCACTTTGGCTAGGTTTTTCTTCCAGCGTCCTGAGCTGGAATGTGATGCAGTCTTCTGGCACACAGAAGACTGCATCACACCCAAGTGGCAGCACCAGGTAAGAGGGGAGACCTCTGCCCTCCTTGGACAGCCTGCACTTGGCAAAGCTCATACACAGAACTACAGCAGTTCAACTCACAAAACAGGCTTTTGCCCTTCACATCTTTTTTAAGCTGTGTGTCACGTCCTCCAGTGATTTAAATCCAGCAAGAAGAATAACGTGGAAAAGTGCTTTGTCCAGTTAGGGTTGTTTTAATCTGCAAGAGTAACATTATGCAGCATTTACAGCGTTTTCTGTGTCCATTTTCTTGTCCTCTGCCAGCTAGAAGGCCACTACGGAAAGAGAGAGAGACCCTTTTGTTTCTAATTTGAACCCAGTCAGATTTTATCAAGACAGTGAGCAATCTTTGGTAGGCCCCTGGACAACTTCTACCCTCAGTCTGCACTGAGATCCTCTTCCAGGACTGTAATAGAATGCCCTGGGAGCAGAAGCCTTCACCTCCCCAGGTTGTACCATACCAACTTCCTTTGTTATAAGAAGAATGACTTTTTCCTGCCTGACCTTGAGGCTACCTGACAAGACATTTTTAAGTATGCACACTAGCACTAGGAGGATTCTCTCTTTAAACACATGACCATGCAACAGGCAAAAGATGGAAATTGTAATGAAGATGGCAACACACCATCCAGAGACACAGCTTTCTGAGGATCAATACTGGCACTCTTTTTTTTTTTTTTGTATAATCTTGTGGATCAGTAAACTGGGTGGTGGAATTTAGGAAAAGGCTTCAGACGGGAAAGAACTCTAAATAGAAGTACACTCATTGGATAAAGTAATGGAAAGTACAGACTATAAATAGATATTGTATGCCTTTTCAAAAATGAAGATAGGAACAAATTATTTGAAAACAGTGGAAAAGACCAAGGACACATCAAAAGGGCATAAAAAACAAAGCAAGGGAAACCCTATCTTGTGATGTAAAGGCCAGGAAAGAGCTGCTACTTTTGTTCCTTTTAATCTTTTTAACATTGTGGAAGTGACCTTCCTGTGAAGATAAGTTCATGAGCTTATCTTCAGTGGAAGCAATCCCCTCAGTTTATTAGCCAGCTGTAAAAGGAGGCTAAGTGCAGGTATTTGGAATTTAAGGGTGAAGGCCAATTGCAATGCATGCATACAGCACTGAAATGGGTGAAGAGACACTAGAAGAAAGGTCTCCCTGATCTTTCCTTCTTCAGGGGATACCAGGAATATTGGGGTAAAGGCAAAGAGAACAAAAAGATAAGGAAGAATGTATCTATATAATAATTCTTCCTGACACAGCCAGGGATAAACCAATTGGTAAGTCTGGGCTTTAGAAAGTCATATCCCTCTTTGCAGGACTTTGGCTTTCCACTCCACCTTCCTCTGAAGAGAAGGCAGGGCTGGGTTAGGATAACATGGGTGTGCCTGATCTGATCTATTTCCAGTGCCTGTAAGCCAGCACAATCCTTTCTGATTTCTCTGTTCAAAGATGTAGCACACATAAAAAATAAGTGTTTTAATTGAATTTTCTAAATGCTGAGTCATATCATTATTTATGCATCTAATTCTGTCCTTCCTTCGGTCCCTGAAGTCACAAAAAGTAACTGTATTCACTGTTAATCCAATCATGGTAAAATGTCAAAGCTCTTCCCCTGCCTCCCCGTGCCCACTTCCTCCCCTCAGAATAAGGTCTTCCAAATATCTACATCAACTATTGTACTCGATTAAAAACAAATACACACCAAGTAACCCCTTTCCCCCCTCCTCATAAAAAGCAGCATAACAACTGAAAAGAATATCTGTCATGACAATTTTTTCTAAGCAAGTAACACTGAACATCAAATAACTGGAGATTGTATTTAATGGAGAACAGAGAAGAATTTTGCTTGTGGTGGTTTGTTTCATTTTGTTGTTTGGTTTGTCTGGTTTTCATTTACGATCTTGGTTTACATCAGGGCTGAGAGCCACGGATTTATTTTTTTCTTTCTGCAGTTCTTAAATCAAGCAAAATAAATTCCAGTAAGAAAACAAATCCAACCCTGTGTCCCAGTAGTGGTACTATGCTAACACATTATTTTCAGGAATGTTTGTCAAGAGAGTCTGCACAGTGTTTGGATATTTACAGAAGTTTAACTCCCTGCTCTCCTAAAAAGCTGTCCCCTCATCCTTCCACATCCTTAATTTGACATAGGAGAAGAATCCACCGTACCCAGAGTCCCACCACCTACCTGTTCTGCATTCAGTCAGAGCACCCCAGCAATTCAGTGCTCACACAGGCTAACCCGAGTGTCAGCTTGATGTGTATTTTTTTCCCCTTGCCAGTTTCAGGGCTTGAAGCAAGTGAGTGCTTTGGTCTGCATGACAGCCTCCCCACAAGTACTTGCTTCTATACTCCTTAACACAGTGGCCTGGAGAGCTCATCATTCAATTCAGTGCATCTTTGGAAGTCTTACACCAGATTTATGTCTTCCCTGAATGCAGTAGTGAACAGTGCCAGGATAGAACAACCGATGACTGTTGATCACAGTTAGCACTGGTCTAATTTACAAACAATAAACTCTCTGTGCAAAAAGGTTACTAGCAGAAGCATCAAGTTTTGCTGGTCCTGAAAACTAAAACTCCCATATACAGATATGCATGAATTTAGAATCAAGAACTATTAACACATGTGACACTATCATTTGGCTTATCATTCTAGTTGGATCCAGAGAGAAAATTAACTTATTAGTCTAACAGGGCTGACAATACACATTGTGGTGCACTCCCTCCTGATCACTCTCTCTGCACTCCAGCCTAGCAAAAAGCACACCTCACACTTTGCAGTTGCCTGGATCCCTTGGTGGAGCATCACACCATCTTTTGTGAGTGTGGATTTGCAAAGTGGAAAACCCATTGGATTAAGGCAGGAGACTGATATAAGCAAGCAGTTGGTCACGGATACAGCCAGTTAGACACAATCGGATTGAACAGGCAACAGACTGCCAACAAGTATGTATTTATGTATTTACACCTCAAAGTCCAGGAGTCTTTGTAGCCTTCTCCCTCCAGTCTGCACATTGAAACTGACAAAAATAATTTGTACACACTGCACTTACAAAACAACGAGGGGAGCGGTAACAAAAACTAAAAAGGAACGCAGCCAGGCCAGCGGCTTCATCTCGGTATGATCATCCTTTCTATGGCACAGACAATATGATCCCAGTTTTTACAAAATATTGCCAGCAGCGTCACTGCGAAAAAAGTGCAGATGATATGAAAGCGGCTCTTCATCATCGGAGCAATGAACTTCGCAATGGTAGAAACGCACACCAAGATGACAGTCATGAAGGCCAGGATCACGTTGATACATTTCCCCAGGAGCACTTTGGCATTAACGGTTTCGGACTGCTGTGCTTGCTGTTCTTGCTGGTGGAGCTCCAGTTTGGAGACCCGGGTCTGGCATGATTCCAAGGCTTCCTGGAGACAGAGAACAAGAATTAGGGCAGCTGGAATTCCATACACCACATTCCTGTTTTAGCTACAGAGCCACCCAGCAGCTAGAAGTCTAATTTATTACAGACTCCTAACATATGAATGAACCACCAACTTTTCTAAAGAAAATGAATGCACATCTCTATATGCACATGTGTATCGCTGTCTGCTCAGGCATAAGGAAGTCTGACAGCACTCTCCGAAATGTAGTTTTTATATTTTTCATGCTTGAGAAAAAGGATTATAAGTGTAATGTTCATGATGGATGTTTTCTGCATATGCTGATGTGATGAAACACTGGGAAAGCTGTTGCCATGGCAACTTTCACTACATTAAAACAGCAAAGTAAGTTTCTTCTTATATGCTATAGAAGACGTTAGGGTAGTACAGGCTTGCTGTGCTACTAATTAATCTACTTTGCAACACGTAGCGTTTGATTTACACCACCTCTCTGGTCTACAATACTTTTCCTCTCAAAGCCACCCATAGTACAGTGCTGCGATGCGTCACAGAATGATTTGGGTTGGAAGGGACCTTAAAGCTCATACAGTTCCAACCCCCTTGCCATGAGCAGGGACACCTTCCACTAGACCAGGTTGCTCAAAGCCCCATCCAGCCTGGCCTTGAACACTGCCAGGGATGGGGCATTCCTCCATGCAACCTGTCAGCATGAAGGCTCATTAATCCATACCCCAAGTGGCAGCTGAGGCAGTGAAGAAATCTGTAGTGATACTTTAAGATATTCTCTCCGTCATGTGACATAATCCACTTAAAAGTCGTAAGTTTTGCCCTAAAGAAAGCAGACCTCTCTCTTCTGCTTGAGTGTGGACTAAAAATGGTTTTCAAGTAAAATGCTTCCTAAGCCACTAAGCCACACTTAAGTCCTCTCAAAGTGAAACAGGGAAAAAATTCTGACTGTTCCATATACTTGCCAAAATGCCATTTTTTGCTGAGTTTGTGATTTGGGCACCATGAACTTGACAAATGTTTATCACCATGTAAAAAGGAAAAATCATGCTCCAGCATCCCAACTTCCTTCCCCATTCTCAAACTCCAGACATTTTCTTTGCACTCCAGGGGTGTTCACCTGGTCATGCAGTAAGAAGCCGATTCAACCCAACCTTTTGTGTGAAAATAGACAAAACCACTGCACAGAGTTATCAGCTGCACACTGAACTGCCGTACCATGTGACCAGCCTGGCACCAAAGTCAGCACCAAGCATGTGGCACAGCACCTTACGAAAGATGGCTTCCTTTCATTGGTCCAAGAATTAGTGATAATACAGAAGATAGTTCTTAATGGGTGGCACAAAGTCCCTTACAGTTCATGCATGCTCTCCATTACACACTAAAGAACTTCCCTGCTTCTTTCTTCTACTCTGACCATAAGTTACTCCCAAATCATCTCGTGCTACATAAATCTACTCCCTGCAGTTCTGCACTGAGTGGTGGAGCAAATGTTTTAAAAACAATCTATCCATCCCTTCAGGACAGAGCACTCCAAAGGCAGGTTGTTACTTAAAATATCCACAATTTAAACACTTTTCCTCTATTTTTGCCTATTTGCAAACCCCTAACAAGACAGGTTTAAACAGGCCCAACTATACAGAGATAAAAGAAACAAGGCTGCATTGGTGTAGCAATTCAATCAGTTTTAGAAGTGTCTGACACCCCTGCAGGGTTCTGCTAATGAGCTAGCAAACATTTCACAGCCCTTCTGCTGGAGAACTCTGGGCTCATTCCGTTTTCACATCCTCAGGATACCTTCACAGGAGTCCTGCATGAAACACCTCTCTTCTTTAAACCTACAGAGTAACCTATGATATGCTTGGATTCAGTACCGTCCTTGCCCACTCTGTTCCCAGGAGTTTCCTAACTCTCACAGCAGCCAAGAAACAGTTTGATTGTCCTGCTGCCTGCGCTCTCTACACTTAAAAATGGGAGTGTAGGGGGGTACAGGACAGGGTTGGTTTGGGTTTTTTTACCATCTGACCCAATACAACAACAGCCTTTGAGCATTCCCCAGTAGTCAGTGAATTTAAACCCAAGGTAGGGCAAGCTAACGTTTTCAACAGTTTTCCCCACCTGCTCAGACTCTGCGCAGAACCATTATGCATTATATAAATGCTTATATTGTATACAGGTATTCAAGTCTGTAACTACATGCTGTCAGGACAAACTGTAGACATTATTACTGGCTTTTAAATGAAGCCAGGCATGACTACAGCTGCTTACTGAGGTGTACACACCCTACAGCTTTGATTACAGGGACTCTTGTGACCACAGAAAGTATTAAATTACAACTGTCAATTCTACAAGTTTATTTATGAATTAGCTCTCTTTTGACCTTAAACTCAATTTATAATAAACCTTGCCAGTGATATGACTACATACAGGAGAAAGCCTGAGCAAGAGGTTTGTGTTAGGACATTATCAAATACAAGGAGATTCAATTCCTTCCTCCTCAGGTGCAAGAAATTAAACCAGGCCATTCTTTGTCCATAAGTCTGCCTAGGCTACAGCATCCATTCCAGCAAATAAAATTCTAAATCCATTGAAACAAGTGGAGACTGTCACCAATTTAAAAGTGACAGTTTTCAACTTAAAACAGACAAAACATGAGCTTAAATGTTTACCCAGATTCCTTAAATACAAAGATGTAGAGAGACGCAAGTGTTTCACAGTACAAGATCTGTGAAAAATCTTACAAGTTTATTATAAGGAAAAACAAGTACCTGAACATCCCGTGATCGCTCATACGCCTGATAGGCCACTTTCTCCTCTATGCTGGCTAGCTCTTGTTTCAAGTTTGCTGTCTCATGTTGATGTAGATCAGTGAGGTCATTTAACTGGTCCTCCAATCTTTCATATCTTATTAGGAGAAAAGGTCTAAATTTAGTGCCTTCTATTCAAGTAATGCTTAATCATGAAAACAATTACACATTCTAAAAGCTAATTTCTGTGTACTATGGATTCATCTGACTGGCATTATAGAGCACAGAGAAATCAGGTGGAACTTTGGAAACTCTCCATAGGCATTTATTCAGCAAACTGAAAGCCTTTTTTGAGTATTTCTTGCTGGCAGTGGATGTTAAAAAGCAAATATTTGTACATCATTGGCAAATTATATGAACGATAAACAGTGCCTAAGGACATCCAACTCACATTTTTCCACTTCTCACTCTTCATTTAGAGAAGAAGATATGTTTCATAAGTGAGCTTGAGCCAGTTAATAGCTCACAAGTAGTGAAAGGAAAAAATACATTCCCCTGGATCCCCTCTCACAACTGCAAGGTCCTGCCATTCATGTGCACTGCCTGTTCTGTCACATCTGTGTGCAGTAAACCAGTTCAACTAAATCAGAAAACTAAAATCGTTTTTTTTGTGTGAATTTCTAACATGATTTAATATACAAACAGGCAAACAATGTGGTCACAAAAATGACAGAGGCAAATTTGTCTAGCTATGGAAGCACTGGTGGCAGGAGGCTTGAGACATCAATGGCAGTGAGCTGTCAGAAAAGGCTGCTCTGCCTTCTCCTGAAGCCCAGTCCCAAGTCCAGTAAACCATTTGCTCTGTTCTCTCCTTCTCCATGTTACCACCTGATACCCACCTTTCCCTTCTATTTCAAGAACTGTAAACAAGGCAAATGTTAAATATTGCATTTCATACTGTTTGCCCATTAGTGTAGTAAAGACTTCAGGTGTCAACACTTACTTTAACAAGTGATATGACAAATGGGATATAGGTACAGGAGGTGCAAGCCTCTGCAGAACATATCTCTCTTCCCACAGTGGATGGTAAAGGAATTAACTACCAAGTAACAAATGCAAGAAGGGATTGTGCTACAGCACTTAAAATCACACTTCACAGCTGTGTTACATCAGGGTACAAAGTGACACTGCATCCATGATAGCAATGCTTCTGAGAATTGTCTGGAGAGGTAAGCAGGACTGAAGGCTACACTTAACAGCTCTAAGTCAGCTCTGCTACACTGTAGACTGATTAGCAATTTTCAAGCCCCAGTAGATTAGAATCCTTCCACTGGTTCCAAATCAGTTGGCATCTTATATGTGGTATTCATATAATGCAGTATGTCAGATGAGAGAATTTTCTGACAAGCCTTCAACAAAAGGCAAAGAGCTACCACATCATTTGATAGGAAATTTTAATGTTCTACATGTTTTTTCAGTTAGTGGAAGGAGTGGAATATTTTGGTACCAGATATTGACTGGAATTATTTTTTCCTCTCGCTTCTGAAATATCACACACACAAGCACATGCCACATTTACACTTTCCAAACAGCTTCTACGCTCATTCAAAAGTCATTTCAAGACAGCAGTTAAAAAAAAATAAAATACCTATATCTTTCCTCTTGTAACATCTGAGAAATAAAGCCATAGTCTCTTTTAAACTGTGTTTTTAAATTCTCTATATCATCAGCTAATTGGGACTGTGTCTCCTTGATTTCTCTTATTTCCTCCAAAATCATGGAAAGCTTTCCTTGGCTGTCCAGAGTACTTGCCACAGCAGGACCAAAGGAAGTATTCCCATTACTATCTGCTGAGCCAGAGGTCCCACTTGAGCATTCATCATCACTAACATATTTTGGTTTGGCAACGATAGTGGCACTGCCCCCGTATGTTCTGGAACTTGTTTCTGGCCGAAATTCATCCAAGGTGTTTTTGAGATGAGCAATGTTGTCTGCACTACCAAATTTGTTTCGGATCAGGTTTGCAAACTCTCTAGACTTGCTGAAAACAAAGACAGGTGGTGTCAAAGACACACCTGGCACACCCGACTTGCTGCTCTCTGTTCCGTGCCCAGAGGTACGAGATTTGCCATGCTGAACATCTTTCAAGTTATCTTTGGAAGTATCCTTAGTAGTTTTGGAAGATCCATTTTGTTCAATATCTTTGAGCTTTTTGTGGTACTGTTCCAATTTCTTCTGTAGCTGGGCAATGGAGTGGGCAGACTTCTGGTTCTTTTTCTCAAAGACTTGCTTAATGCGCCCAGCTTGTTGCTTGTCTGCACTATTTACCAGTTTCAAATACTCAGCCACATTGCCATCTCGAGCTGTTTGTTCAACTTTGATTTGTTCTGTAACCTTGAGGATTTTCTGTTTCAAGCTATCTGCACTGAGTTTAACTTTGTGAAACTCCAGGACCCCATCTGGTACATCAAAGTTCAGGTTAGTGTCAGAGCCTCCACGGCGGATATTAAGCGGTAAACTCAGGGTATTCATGTCATGTCTTTCCACCTGAGAGAGAAAAAGAAAAAAGAATTTGAATTTTACTTCTTTAAATCCAATTTTCGGTTTCCTTTTCCACTTGTAATTGTAACAAGTGCACAATACAAAGTAGCTGATAGTAGCAAAACAGAATTAACTTCTCTTTGAAACCAAGCAGTGTTTTTCTTGACTTCCCTAGGTTGACGAATGGCCTAAGGAACTGCCTGTCTCTAGTAAGAAAGCAGTGAGATGAATTAAGAGTGCAAAGCATTCCAGTATATAATTTATCAGAATCACTTACTTTTATTCACAAAATCAGAACAACACCTGGTTAGGAAAGATTCCTAAATATATTGTTTATCATTGAGAGTTTCAAGCAGATCCTGACTGATAATCGCTGCATATCTCTCTCAGAAATCAAACACTGATAAGAGATGTGAGCAGAGTTTTCCCTCTACAGCAGTGTTACACTGTTCAGTATATTTTACCAGATTAAAGTCCTTTTTTGATACATGCTCCTCCCATTCCAATCCCCCACACAATTCAAAGTTTTTGCACAAGCAGCTGAAAGTTCTTGGAAATTTACTGCATGCTTCTGCAGGAACCAGCTGCTGGTTTTTAGTGAAAGACCACAGTGAAAGAACTGGCTCACAGTTGACTTTGCATACTTGATAACGATGCTCCACAACTTGGTCTGCTGTGGTTCAGTCTGTTTTAACAGCAAAGTGTGTGTGTGTATATACATATATAGCATATATATACTATAGCATGTATAGTGAAAGCATATATAATATATATGTAGTGTGTGTATATATACACATATATACGCCATATATATACTATATATGCTTTCACTCAAGTATAAGATCTGTATACCTTCACCATGCTCTCAGGAAATGTAACAAAACCAAGCAGGCAACTTGGTCACCACACAAACACAACAGATTGTCTTACTGCTGTAAGGTTGGTCTTCCCATCCTGGTACAGTTTTGGTGGCCAGCCCTCCTGGAAATTCTCTCCAGCTTTTGTATGTCGCCCTTAAAATACAGGCTCATGAACCAGACATGGTGTCCAACTGTTAATGACACACATACTGCACAGATTGATCAAGAGAACTATTCTCACCCCATGTCTATCATGCTGGCTTATAAACACAGACGGGGTAATACTTCCATAAAATTAAATCTGTACTTGACCATTTCAGAGACAGGATCATCTCTACTCCTACTTTATATTCTTATCATTATATTCTTATATTACTGAGGATTACAGTACTCTGTAGTTTGTTTGCTTGTTTTTGCTACTGCACTGCTCAGGATAGAAACTAGGCAACATAAAAATACACATTCACCAGCCTCTAAGAAAAATGGACACTTGAAAAAAAGCAAACTAAAGAGTTTTGGAGTTGACAATTCCTTGGGGAGAATACTGGTTAATGGTGATCTCCATCTGTTCCAAGGCTTAAACCAGTGCTATGGCCTAATAGCTCTGCACTTAACCAGTTTGTTAATCAGTGGAGCCATAGGCCTAATTATTAAAAAGAGGTGCAAGTAGTCTTTACAAATGCATACAAATTGTATACAACGTATCATCAGCCATATGTCCTTCACAGAAAGTCTACTTTATTGATATCTCATTTTAGTATTTGCACAGATCTGACACATATGGATGGTGCTCTACATTCAGGGTGATACCTAATTGAAAGAGTGAAAAAAGGCACAAGTGTCAAAACTATCTTCCTTGTTTTGTTATATTTAATTTTTTTAGTCTTAGAAATATAACTAATAGGAAAAAAAGAGCTTTTACAGATCACTTTAAAAAGTGATAACATGCATAATACTGTTGTGGTAGCTAAAACATGCATTTAATATAAGCAAAAATAGTTTGACATCAGACTTGTATCTTTTCAAGCTCATAGAGCAAAGAAAACCAGTCAAAACAAAGAGCTGAAAAGCTGAGATACCAGATCTGTACCCCATTTTGCAAACATTTCTTTAAATGGATTTACTGTGTCTGGACAAATTGAGTAAAGAGAAAAAGCTTGGTATTTAACAATAGTTTCCTGAAAGAACCTAAGACATTTCTGAAATAAGCTTTGGCACAAAACTACTCTGTAATAAATAAAAGAATTCCATATACACACAAGACAGATCCATCACTGATGTCATTCAGGACAAGCTGCACATACTTCCAAGAATGGGTGAGTCCGTCTCTAACCTTTACACAGCATTAAGTGTTTACTTCCTTAGTACAAAAATAGTCTAAAAATGTATTTTAATAATTGGATACAAGCCCAAACCAGATCCCTTCTCCCTTATGTCCTCTCCCTCACTAGAGTTTCTAGTGTTCAGCAAGCTCTATCATCATCATGCACCCCATGCCTTCCTGGAACTTCAAGGTCACAACAGCAATAGAGATAAATAGAACAATAGCATTGAAGAAATACATCTGCTGAAAGCCACGTTGTTTTTGGAGCTGAGGAAATCAATTAGCATATGGCAAATCTGCTTCTGAAATGAGTAGGACCAGTCATCGGGTCAGTGCAAATTCAGTGACGTTTAGAGAAGAATTGTGTCTAAGTTCCCAAAACACTGCTAGGAGTAGGCTTTTTAGCTTACTAGATGAAGAGCTCACCAAGGGTACAGAAAAACATCCAATACATTCCTCTGTCTGACTGTATTTGGCCAAAATGGCAGGTGTTCTCTTGCCATCATGCTGCAAGGTTGGGTCAAGCAAGAGAGGCTATTGAAATCTTATATATGTTCACGTAATGCACCTGTTGTTGTTTGGGCTTTAGTTTGGTTTTGTGTTTTGTTTTTGTTTAGAGTTTGTTGTTTGCTTTGTTTGGTTGTGGTTTGGTTGTTGTTTTTTTTGCAGGGGAGGGGCTGTTTATTTGGATGTTTGGGAATGTTTTTTAGGCAAGCAGACACTGAAGAACTCAGGTATCTCTAGACAAGTGGCCTATTACTTGTCTTCTACCTGGATGAGGTAGAACACTTGTGCAAAGATCCATCTGTGATTGCTTTACAGCTCAAAACTAATACACCAGAGGTCAAACTTCAAATCCACTCCCAAATCCTTGCTGCAAGTCTCATCTTGAGATGAGAATTGCCCTGTGTTCCCAACTAGCACTCTTTCCTGAAGCACTGTAAGGATAGCATGCACTTTCTGCTGTATTGAATACCCAGTTCCCTATACAGAGCAGAAAACTGTCAGTAGGAGTCTGAGATGCTGCCTCACCCTGCAGGGACAGACGCACTCTCCTGCGATGTGGATTCAAATCCTCCCACATGCAGGAGACTGAACACACATCACCCTCAAACTATGGGAGTGCTCTTCCAGCTATTTGGGGAGAGATGATGAGTGCCACCCATGCCATAGTTCTTTGTTACTCCTGGGTCACTAGCACCTGGCAAGGGCACCAAGATATTAATAATAAAGAATTTGGTTGATTTTATATATATTTGAAAGATTTTCATTGTGGTTGCCAAAGATAGATATAGCTATAGATATATATACACACAGAGTGGTGGCCTCAATGGCCAAAATGGGACCATATTTTTTTTCAGGAAGAAGCACTTAAAGAAAGAAGTATGGAATAATCATACATCTCTCCTGTGACAATAACAATTAATAGGGAGCTGGGGATTAGCAATAGATGAGAGGATGCAGTCTTGAGACAAGTGGTAACACAAGGAAGACAAAGCACTAGCCCAGGGTCTGAAGAAATATGAGATATGCACAGGATCTGGCTTCTAGGAAAACCAGGATAAAAAAGACCAAAAACAATCTGCATGTGATAACTGTGATAACCCTAGCTGGTGTTAGCTTGGAAGAAGAAATCTGGGGCTTGGAGAGACCACTGCATTTTTTGGTATACATTTTGCTAAAACCCAGTTGAGAACTAATTGTAATGTTTGTGCTGCTTGAAGACTAGCTTTTAAGAACAGTAATTTGGGAGTGCAGCAATTCAGGCTCTTTGCCTGCATCACAGCCAGACACCACAGACTACTAGATAAGTACCTCTTAGAGGCCAAGCAACTTCCTTCTGCCCCACCCCCCTTTTTCCAAGGAGCCAAGCAGATCCCTGCTGTGTGGCCAAGCTCATCATGCAGCCCATCCCAACTCAAAATCCAGTGCTTCCAAAGGGATAGCAGAGTAACTACTTGGTTCAACAAACATAGGCACACTGCTAGGTACCTTTCATTACACATGAACAGGCAGGTACACTTTCCATCTTCAACAGTAAGTGGAGAGCTGCGTAAAAGGTAACATGCCATTCATAAAGAAGCACTCCAAGCACAAAAGCACTTTGAAAACCCAATCACAGAAGCAAGGATTGGGATTTTATTGGCATCATAACAATCTACATATTGTCTCACTGTCTGCAAAAGCAACCCAAAGCTGAGATCTGGAGGCCATGCTACCAATGAGCCCAGAGCATGAAAGGACCCATGTGCCCAAATGCCCCCAGTAAGACTGATGGAAAGGGGTTCCACATGGACAGGAACTGCTGAATGGTGAGAACACCATGCTTAACAGCCTCTGTAGATTGACCATTATAGCCTCTGGCAGCAAAATGTAAAGCAGATGTAGAAGGTTATTTCTTCCCCTAAGATCCCATGTGGGATCCATTTGGGAAAAATAAATCAGTAGCAAATAGATGTTAGAGAGCATGCAACCCACCCTCAAGCCCACATCTTGGCTGCTCAGATGAATCACTTCCTGTGTTCCACTGGCTGCGTCAATGGCTCTCCACCAACAAACTAGAGCTCAGCCACCTGTGTTTAGGTGTCAAACTGAACTCTATTGTTTATTTTATCAATTTTTTTTCATACTCTTTCAAGAACTGGCTGAAAGAAGCGGAGAGGAAACGCATTCGCAAGACAGTCACTTGACTGCAAATATGGATCAGTCTCCAGACAGCACACATCTCTAGGTTGCCTCACTAACAGAAGCATAAAGACACAAAGCGATCTACATGCTCAAGTGGCTTAAAGGTGGTTCATTTTATTTCTCTCCCCAAACAGCCTCATTACCATCCCCAGTCATAGCTGGGCAAGCTAAAC